TGTGAACTGTATCCCATTCACATATACACAGACTGTGTTCCGGTTTGCTGAGTTACATATACATGCTGTGACTCAGTACAAAGTCAGAATGTTTAGTTAGCTAGAAGTCTGCTTCCATTCTGTGATTCATGAGGTCCCCCTGGTACGGCTACTTCCTTTATTTTATGCAATCACAAATTATATTAGTTTGTCCTATTTTGATAACCCTTATAATTGAAGTTCTGCACAAGAAATTTTATGACTATTTTAAAACATACTCATAAACCATGACTGAGGTGGCATAAGTGACGCCTCACAGAACTGGTGATTAGGATTAAGCAGTGCCTTGCATGAGCTCCTTCTACCAGGTTAACAGCCAAGTTAAAAAGTATTAGAAGTAGAAGGGGGATGGGGGAGGGATAGACAACTCAGTGCATGCTGACCAAGATGGGAGATTTAAGCAATCAATTTTCACACATATAAATTTGTTACTAATTTTCACAATTAAACATTATTACCATGACCCTGAAAAACTGGTTCTGATATGAAAACACTACAACAGATTGAAGAACTTATTCATTACCTGGGAAACTAATATAGTGAAAATCTGATATAATTTTGAAATGAAATGGTAATTATATTCTATGCATAAAATGAGACTCTCTGACAAGGAACTTTGAATGAATAGCAAATAAAAGCAGCTATATAGTCATCAGAAATCATGACAGCTTGGAATGTGAAAGGATATTATTATTGAGAGCATTATAAGAGCAATTCATTTATTGTTGCTGCAAAACTGAGTACAGTTCCTAGGAAGGAGCCTGGTATAGACACTCTCATTGCTGTGGGTACTGCTGCCACTATAATGGCTCAATACAACACAAAACCTTAACACTATTTTCCCTTTTTGTCATTTTTTGTAAAAGTCAAAATCCTCGCCCTAACCGGTTTGGCTCAATGGATAGAGCGTCGGCCTGCGGACTCAAGGGTCTCAGGTTCGATTCCGGACAAGGGCATGTACCCTGGTTGCAGGCACATACCCAGTGGGGAGTGTGCAGGAGGCAGCTGATTGATGTTTCTCTCTCATCAATGTTTCTAACTCTCTATCCCTCTTCCTTCTCTCTGCAAAATCATAAATATATTTTTTTAAAAGTCAAATCTCTCAGATCATCTTCAGATTCATCAGGTTAGTGAAAACAGGTACTGAGGTAGGTCTTTAGTAAAAGTGAAGTGGTAGAACGCAAACTTTCAAAAAGCAGGGGATGCCTATATGTACAAGGTGTCCCAAAATATGTATATACACTTTGAATAATTAATTCGAATGGGTTAAATCTGAAAAGAAAGAAACATCAATTGAGCTATCAACTGTTAAAGTATATAGGCATTTTTGGGGGGACACCCTATCTTACATCACACATAAAAATTAGCTCAAAATGTCTTAAAGACTTAAATGTAAGACCTTAAACAGCAAATTTCCCAGAAGAAAACAGGGGAAAAACTCGTTGACATTGGTCTTGCCCATGATTTTTTTTCTGGACATGACACTAAAAACACAAGTAACAAAAGCAAAAATAAACAACTAAAACTTTATCAAAACAAAAAGCTACTGCAAGCAAAAGTAAAATAAAATGAAAAGGCAACCTATGAAATGGGATAAAATATTAGTAAACCATATATCTGATAAGGGGTTGATATCTAAAATATATAGGGACCTCATACAACTCTACAGCAAAAGAAAATAAAAAAGAAATAACTTTAACAATTGCAAAGGGTGGGTGTCAGGAAGCCCCAATTCTGGTTCCAACACCACCACTTAATAAGTCTGTAACTTTGGGCAAATCATATTTCTTCACTTGGCAATCCAAATTAGGAATAATAATATCCTCACTGAGATTTAATAATAACCAAATAAAACATACATGAAAGCATTGTTAAAGTTTAAAAAAATGAGAAAAGGGTCTAATAGACATTTTTCCTAAGAATTTATGCAACTGGCCAACAGGTATATGAAAAGATGCTGAACATCCCTTATCATCAGAGAAATGCAAATCAAAACCACAATGAGATATCAACCTCTTCCTGTCAGGTGGCTATTGAAAAAAAGACATAAGATAGCAAGTGTTGGTGGGATGTGGAGAAGAGAGAACCTTGTAGGCTGTTAGTAGAAATGTAAGTTGGAAAACAGTATGGAGGTTTCTCAAAATATTAAAGATAGAACTACCATTTCCCTTTAGTCTCCATGTTTTCTAATGAGAATTCGGCTATGTTTCAAATCATTGTTGCCTTATAGTAAAAAATCTGGTTACTTTCAGTTTTATATTGTCTTTAGTATTCAGTAGTTGGACATGCATTTTTTTGGGGGGGTTACCCTGTTTAGAGTGGGCTCAGCTTCTTGAATCTGTAGATTTATGTATTTCAGAAGTTTTCAGTCATGATATATTATTGAGAAAGCCCATTTACAATAGCACCAAAGAAGATTACACTTAGGAATAAATCTAACAAGAAATACATGAAGCCTATAGAAGAAAAATGTTAAAACACTCATGAAAGACACAAAAGTAGTCTTGAAAAAAAATGTTAAGACAGTCCCTATTCTTAAATTGATCCAACACTCGAAAGATGTAGTTCTCTCTAAATTTATGAATTCATGCAATCTCAATAAAAATACCAACAAGCTATTTTATGGAGCTACAAAATTTAATACTAACATTCACTTGGAAAAATAAACATACAAGAAATGCCAGGAGCATATTGAGAAAGAAAAATTACAAGGTAAGACTAGCTGTAACAATCTTGAAAATATACTATAAAATCTGTATAATTAAAAATATCATATTAGCACATGCATAGACAATTTAACCAATGTCATAGAATACAAAATTAAAAATGTACCCTAAAGCATATACTAATTTAGAGTATGATAAAGGAAATATCTCAAATGGATCAAAAAGATTAGATCCATAGTTTACACAATAACAAAAATAATTTACAGATGAATTAGAGATCTAATTATTAAAAGGGAAAGAAGGCAAAATTGGATGATTACCTCTTTAAACTTAGTATAAGGAAAAGCCTTTCTATGATTCTAAATCCAAAGGCAATAAATAATTAATGAATTTGAATCTGTTAAAATAACAAACAAGTAGAAAGAAAACTGACCCACAGCAAGGATATATTATTAACATATACCACAAACAAAGAACTAATATATCTAATATATATCAACCATAGGACCAAACACCGGATAGAAAAATGGGGAAAGACCATGACAGTGTTTTTCATTGGTACAACTTGAGCAATAAAAATAACTAATATTACTGCATAATACCTTAAAAATGAAATTTAAATATATATATATGTATATATATGTGTATATGTATATATACACACATACACACATATACACATTAAAATTAAATAAATATGTGGTGGTAAAGAATGGCTATTCCTTTAAGAATAATTGAAATTAAAAAATAGAAAAGGAAAGAAGGAAATAGAAAAACATTATTAGGTAAATATCTATATACACTGAGTGGCCAGATTATTATGACTGGCCAGATTATTATGACCACCCCATCAGTACTTCGTTGGGCCACCTTTTGCCTTCAATACTGCGGCGATTCTTCTTGGCATTGACTCCACGAGATGTTGAAAGGTGATGCGAGGAATCTGACACCATGCCTGATGAATAGCACTGTCCAGTTCTGTGAGATTTGATGGTTGTGGAACCAGCTGCCTGATGGCTCTTTTAATTTCGTCCCACAAATGCTCAATTGGATTGAGATCTGGTGATTGTGGGGGCCACATAAGCAAGGTAAAGTCTCTCTCATGTTCTTGAAACCACTCCTGCACAATATGAGCACCATGGCATGGCGCATTGTCTTGTTGAAAGAAGCCATCTCCATTGGGATATGCCATCAACATGATAGGATGAACTTGATCAGCAACGATACTTAAGTATCGTTGTGCTATTCAGACGTTTATAATGATCTGGCCCTCTAGCAACTTCAGCACGAAATTATAGCTAATTTGCCTACAAATGTCAGGTGGTCATAATAATCTGGCCATTCAGTGTATATAAAAGGCTAGTATGCAAAGTGTCTCCTCAGGAATTCGACAGGGCAACTGGGAGTTCGTTCACTCTCTATGATGTGCGGTGACCACCACATGGAAAGAAGGAAGGCTCCAGCCGGCAGCCAGCAGCTGGGGAAGGGAAGGCCTTGCCGGCAGCTGGAACGCGCCGATAGGCCCTGATTGCCGGCCAGGCCTAGGGACCCTACCCGTGCATGAATTTCATGCACCAGGCCTCTAGTACAGTAATAATTGTCTTAAAATACACTGATGAATGCTAAAATTTATGGACAAACATAAACCTGTTGATATGATACCCTAACTTCTATTAATAAGTTACTATTTTTTTTTTCATTTTGTTGTTAATAAGTATCTTAGGGAAAATATTTTGTGACCATGCAAATATTCTTTTTATCCTGAATTGGTTCCTGGAAGAGAATAGGGACATTAATGGGAAAAAAAGATGAAATTCAAATAAGGTTGATAATTGTATTAACAGTATTATACCCATATTGCTTCCTGGTTTTGATAATTGTACTACAGTTATGTCAGATGTTAACAGATGGAGCTGGAGACTATTTAGGAATTTTCTGTACTATTTGTGCAATATTTTGATGTCTAATATTCAAAATAAAAAAGTTTTAAAAAGAGTTGTGGAAAAACTATGCTTGTATAGTGACAGAATAAAGATAAAAGCTATTACCAGGGGTCAGAGGGTAAGTGAAAAAACTGATTTATGAAGGTGACCCATGGGAACTTTTATGGATGATGAAAATGTCTATATATCATGATTGTGTTGGTAGACATATGACAATAAGTCATCAAAACTGGTGAAATTTTGCTGTATGTAATTTGTAACTCAATAAGACTGACAAAAAAATTCCCAATGCAATCCCCACATAAGCAGAATGCAGAGGAGTGATACCAAATGAGATTATATATGTTCTTACCAGATTAATTAACTGAGTGTGTACCACATCTTCTACCAAAACTGCTGTTTCATGAAGAGGCTTCCTAGAATCACCTAAAGAAAACCTGCAAAAAAATAAAAAATTAATCACACCAATATCAAGAATTGCAAAGCTAAGAATGGAAAAGGTGAAAGATATTTACTACAATCATTTGTTTAATAAAGTACAAATTGTTCTCTCAAATAACACAGTACAGGTACAGTTTCCTATGGATAATGAGTTGTTGCATTTCTCTTACACAGGTGAAAAGCAGTGTTATCTATGCTATTTCTTGATTTGTGTAGTAATTTTTAGGGGCATTTACTTTTTCAAAATGTAAAATAATAACAACCATTTAACACTGATAATCAGAAAATCATATTACCACATCAAAATTGCCAATACAGTTCTATAGTAGCCATACAGAAAATTATAATAGCATATAATATAATTAAAATAAAAGCTGCTAAGAAAAATTTATGTAAAGGCTATAAATCATCATTTTAAAGTATATACAAGCAGATTATCAAGAATGGATTATAAAACTCTTCTTAAAAGTTCTATTCTCAACTTTCAAATGGTGGACCAGATGTACAGAGAGTCACTTCCTGGTAGAGAACATTTAAAAATGCACAATACTATATTAAAAACATATTTCAGCAGTAGGGAAAACAAAACAGAAGTCAGACATAATGATAAAATACAGTTCCACAGGATAAGAGACCCTGCAGCAAAAATTTATTCCTAGCATCCTACAGCCTGGACTTCAACTAGCATGGTACTCAAGGTATAGGAGAGAATGCCAGGACCAAAAGCAAGGTAGGTCAGTTTGCAGAACCTAATATCGAGAAAAGTTGAGAAAACTAACACCCAGATGGTGATAACTTCGTGTGTGAACTAGGAAAATACCTATTCCACAGAAGGCACTTTGCCTATATCACCCAAGGCTATCAATAAAGAGAAAAAATGTGGTACTCTCTTAATATAAAATGATGAAAAATAAATCCTTACATATATGTTCAATTGATTTTCCATAAGAATGGAAAGAACACCTAATTTGGAAAGGACAGTCTTTTCGATAATTGGTGTGGGGAAAAGAACTCAAAATAGATCAAAGACCTAAATTAAAGAGCTAAAACTGAAAAACAGAATAGAGGGGAAATTTTTCATGACCTTCGATTTGGCAATGGTTTCATAAGTATGGCACCAAAAGCACAGACAACAAAATAAAAAAATACATTGGACTACATCAAAACAAAATCCTTTTATATATCAGATACTATTCAGAGAACCTTCTGTTTTGTTCACTGATATATTCAGTATTGAATTCTTTGGACTCCATGAACAAAGTTTCCCTCCCATTTTTTTTTTAATTTACTTCAAATCTCACTATAGAAAAAGTAAAAAATTATCAACTTGAAATGATTGACTAAAAGATAAAACAACAAATTCAATTAATAACTCTAGTAAAAAAAACATTTTAAAAACACGTTAATTGGATTGTTTTTAACATATGTTTTTAAAATGTTCTTTTCACTAGAGATTTAAATTAAAGTTGTTGTTTTATTTTTAGTCAACTGGATTGTTTTAGTAAAGTGAATTGTTACAACTTGAGCAATAAAAATAAATAATGAGGAGAAACCAAGATGGCGGCATAGGTAAACACCTGAAATTGCTGCCTCGCACAACCACTTCAAAAATACAACTAAAAGACAAAACGGACATCATCCAGAACCACAGGAAGGTGGCTGAGTGGGAATTCTACAACTAGAAGGAAAGAGAAAAGCACACTGAGACTCAGAGGAGGTGTGGAAGTAAAGTGCAGAGGTATGGAGGCGCGCGTGGAAAGGGCTGGCAACTGAGGACGTGGTTGTCTTTTTCAATCGGGAGAGAGACACACGCTCCCACTCTGAACTCCAGTTCCAGGTGAGTCTCTGGGGACCCAGACTCATACGGAGAGAAACTGGACTGTCTGACAGCGGGTGGAACTCGAGGGCGGCTTTCTCTCAGAGGTGCTTGCAGAGATTACTGCGGGACACTGAGACCCGGGACCTCTTAGGGCAGGACTGAGGATCAGCCATAGCTGTTTGCTCTGCCCTGTTGATTCCCTGAGACCCCGCCCCACCCAAGCTGTGCCCAGAGGCTTTTGCATATGAATAATCTGGCCCTTTGCAATCTAAAATTACCTAACAAACTGCAGCTGGGTCAGAGAAACCCAGAACTTCCAAAAGAAGGCCCAAGGCCCTATAGAAGCTTGCATTCTTCACAGCTGGGCCTCATCTGGGCATCTCCAAATCCCAAACAAAGAAGAGGAATCTGCAGATCTCTCCAGATCTGCTCGGTAGCCTCAGGCAGAGGCTAAATTAGCACCTCCTTAGAGATCCAAGTGCCAGTGTACCCAGTGGTCAGAGTGGGACCATCCAGATTACAACTCCTCAGATCCATAAGGGACACACTCAGGGGGCAGACTCAGTGAGCAGCAAAGCCCCACTGAAGCAAGTCTTGCCCCATAAGGGTGTCTCCAGCACAGAAGTTCTCCCACCATTAACACAGCTGATTCTCACAGGCAATTGGCCTGGAGGTCAATTCCTCCCAGTGATACCAACTACAATCAAGGCTTAACTACAACAAGACTGTGCACACAGCCCACAAAGGGGTGCACCAAGAGTGTCCACCTCAGGTAATTGGGGAGGCTTAGCTACTGGGCCCTATAGGACACCTAGCACAGAAAGCCACCCTATCAACACAGGGAAGCAGCCAAAATGCAGAGACAAAGAAACAGGTCACAAATGACAGAAATGGAGGAAAGCAAACTACTGGATATAGAGTTCAAACCACACTTTTAAGGTTTTTCAAGAATTTTCTAGAAACCGCCGATAAATTTGTGAGACGCTCAATAAATCTAGTGAGACCCTCGAGGATATGAAAAAGGACCAAATAGAAATTAAGCATATACTGACTGAAATAAAGAATATTATACAGAGATCCAACAGCAGACTAGAGGATCGCAAGAATCAAGTCAAAGATTTGAAATACAAAGAAGTAAAAAACACCCAACCGGAAAAGCAAAAAGAAAAAAGAATCCAAAAATATGAAGATAGTGTAAGGAGCCTCTGGGACAACTTCAAGCAAACCAACATTCGAATTATGGGGGTGCCAGAAGAAGAGAGAGAGCAAGATATTGAAAACCTATTTGAAGAAATAATGACAGAAAACTTCCCCTACCTGATGAAAGAAATATACTTACAAGTCCAGGAAGCGCAGAGAACCCCAAACAAAAGGAATCCAAAGAGGACCACACCAAGACACATCATAATTAAAATGCCAAGAGCAAAAGACAAAGAGAAAATCTTAAAAGCAGCAAGAGAAAAACAGTCAGTTACCTACAAGGGAGTACCCATACGACTGTCAGCTGATTTCTCAACAGAAACTATGCAGGCCAGAAGGGAGTGGCAAGAAATATTCAAAGTGATGAATAGCAAGAACCTACAACCCAGCAAAGCTATCATTCAGAATTGAAGGTCAGATAAAGAGCTTCACAGATAAGAAAAAGCTAAAGGAGTTCATCACCACGAAACCAGTATTATATGAAATGCTGAAAGGTATCCTTTAAGAAGAGGAAGAAGAAAAAGGTAAAGATACAAATTATGAACAACAAATACATATCTATCAACAAGTGAATCTAAAAATCAAGTGAATAAAAAATCTGATGAACAGAATAAACTGGTGAATATAATAGAATCAGGGGCATAGAAAGGGAGTGGACTGACAATTCTCTGGGGGAAAGGGGTGTCAGGGGTGCAGGAAGAGAATGGACAAAAATCGTACACCTATGGATGAGGACGGGGGGGTAAGAGCAGAGGGTGGGGTGGGATCTGGGTGGAGGGGAGCTATGGGGGGAAAAAGAGGAACAACTGTAATAATCTGAACAATAAAAATTTAATTTAAAAAATAATAATAAATAAATAATGATGTTACTACATAGCCTAAAAATGAAACTTAAATAGAAATTAGTCCATACATACACACACACATAAAATACTATTCAGCCATAAAAAAGAATGAAATTTTGCCATTTGCAACAAAATGTTTAGACCTTGAGCCCTAACCGGTTTGGCTCAATGGATAGAGCATCGGCCTGCGGACTCAAGGGTCCCAGGTTCGATTCCGGTCAAGGGCATGTACCTTGGTTGCAGACACATACCCAGTAGGGAGTGTGCAGGAGGTTGATATTTCTCTCTCATCGATGTTTCTAACTCTCTATCCCTCTCCCTTCCTCTCTGTAAGAAATCAATAAAATATATTTTTTTTTAAAAATGTTTAGACCTTGAAGGTATTACTCTAAGTGAAACCAGAAAGAGAAAGACAAATACTATATGATCTCACTTATATTTGGAATCTGAAATACAAACAAAAAAAACATAGTTGACAGATACAGAGAACAGATTGGTTGTTGGGGGTGTGTGTGTGCAAAATGTGTCTAGGGACTCCACAGGTACAAACTTCCAGCTATAAAATAAATAAGCCCTGGGATGTAATGTACAACATGATGATTATTATTAACTAGAGGCCTGGTGCAAGAAATTCTTGCATGGGTAGGGTCCCTAGGCCTGGCTGGTGATCAGGGTCAATCTGCAGGGCAACTGGTGTGGCAATCAGGGGGCCCCCCTCTGCGGGGCGACCAGCAGGGAGATTGGGGGGGGGGCCCGCTGGCACCTGCCTTGCCTGGCCTGGGGCCTGCGGGCTGGGGGCAGCTCCTGCATTGAGCATCTGCTCCCTGGTCAGTGTGCGTCATAGTCACCGGTTGTTCTGCTGGTTGTTCCACCATTCGGTTGATTTGCATATTAGGTTTTTATTATGTAGAATAATACTGTATTGCTTATTTGAATTTTGCTAAGAGAATAGATCTTAAAAGTCTTCATCACAAAAAAAATATTTTTTGTAACTATGTATGGTGACAGATAACTAGACTTGATGTGGTAATCATTTTTCAGTATACACAAATACTGAATCATCATTTTGTACACTTGAAACTAATAATACGTCAATTTTACTTCAATTTAAACAAAAAGCGTGCCTTTTCAG